TTTTTTTTTTTTTTTTTTTTTTTTTTTTTTACTCAGGGAACATCTTTGTAGATAGTCTTTGGTTGTATACATGATTACACACTTGAGGTAAATTTCTAGAATTTGAATTGCTAGTCCAAAGGATAGGCCCTTTTTTGAGGCTTCTGATAACTATTTTTATATTGCTCTACAGAAGATTTGTATCATTTTACTCTTTTATCTCAGTCTGTTTGGTAGATAAAAATCTATTTTTTTTTCCTTAAGATTATATTCATTAATCCTGAGAAATTTTAGGCAAATTTAACTATCAAAATCCATTTACAAAATCTGTTAATGCAGATGTAATAAGCATTGTAACAGCGTTTTAACTTCACAATGTTTTGGTTTGTGGTATTCAATTAAATACTGAACAGCTATAATAAAGATTAAATATTTTTCTTTTCATTTCTGACCTTTCCATAAATTCTAACCCCCTTAAGTGGTCATTAAAATTCTTAAAGCCACTCTGTGTTGGAGGTTTAAGTCTAGAGCATGTAGTGACTGCACACAAAAGCCAGATAGCAAGAAGCTCATCTCCTGGCCTGCACTTAGGAACTAGGAAGACTTTAGTTCCTTCATCTGGATGAGGAGGGAAAGTGGATGACCACTGGGTAAAGATTTTTTTATATTGCATGAAATTTTTATTTTCATGAATCCAATGTCAAATTAGGCTAGATAAATAATACCTGAATCTGAAATACACAATAATTAACTATAAAATCAATGATAACATCTAAGGTTGTCATACTTAGAACTTTTTGTTTGGAAGTGGGGTTAGCATTTTTCTCAAATAAACTGAGTTCCTTTTTATGCTTTCATTGTAGACAAGTTAAGAATATTGGGACCCACACAATTATAGCCTCTTATATTCTGAAGTAGCCAAAGGTCACCTTCCAGGTATCACATTTGATGACCTTTTAACTCTGTTTCTCTTTAGCCTCTCAGTAGCAATCAAAACTGTTGCCTAGACCATTCATTTAGTCTTAAAACTCTCTCTTCCTCTGGCTTTTGCAATTCAGTCATCTCCAGATATTACTTCAACTCTCTGACCACCCTCTGTTTCATTTATTGTCTAGAATTACATCATCACCTCTTTTTCTTCACTTGCTATGTTCTTTCTTTGGGAAATTTTATCTATACCCATGAATTCTACCATCACTATCAGCTGATGATTCCTAAATCTGAGTTCCTTTTTTTTAAAATTTAATTTTGTTTTGTCAATATACAATGTGGTTGATTATTGTGGCCCATTACTGAAACCTCCCTCCCCACTCCCTTTTCCCCCTCCTTCCCAACAACCTCATATCTGTTCACTTGTCATATCAACTTCAAGAAATTGTAATTGTTGTGTCTTCTTCCCTCCCCCCCAATTTATTTGTGTATTTATTTATTTATTTTTAGCTCCCACAAATAAGGGAGAACATGTGATATTTCTCTTTCTGTGCCTGACTTGTTTCACTTATCATAATTCTCTCTAGGTCCATCCATGTCATTGCAAATGGCAGTATTTCATTCTTTTTTATAGCAGAGTAGTATTCCATTGTGTAGATATATCACATTTTCTGTATCCACTCATCTGATGATGGACATTTGGGCTTTTTCCACTCTTAGGTATTGTAAACAGTGCTGCCGTGAACATTGGAGAACAGGTATACCTTCGACTTGCTGATTTCCATTCCTCTGGGTATATTCCCAACAGTGGAAGAGCTGGGGGACATGGTAGATCTATCTGCAATTGTTTGAGGAACCTCCATACCATTTTCCATAGAGGCTGCACCATTTTACAGTCCCACCAACAATGTATGAGAGTTTCTAATCTTCACTTTTCTTCTAAACTCACAGATCTATTGGTCTTTCTTTCCTGACAGATATAGGAGAGAGTAGTGTCCATCACTGGTTTTTCTTTTCACAAATTCATATTCCAGTTAGTCATCTTTTTAAAAACAGGTCTAACCATGTCACTAAACAGATACAAAAATCTTCTCAGTATTCCCAGGAGCTAGAAAATTTATCAAGGCATCACCCATCTGGTGTCACAGTCACCTCTGCCTCTTGTATGCCTATGTCTGGGATCCTTCAGTCTCGCTGTTCCTCTCTGTCTGTCCTCATCACGTTCCCTGTATCTGCAATCCCTGTTCAAGCACACACATCAGTCTGTCAAGATCTTATTCAAGGCCCACCTCAAATATCACTTCCTAAAATTGTTCATGAATCCCCTTACCTTGTTTTTTAGCTTGTTTAATTTTGAGCCAATAGTTTTCCTTATTGTCATACATTAACTTTTTTCATGGGTCATACCAGTTTGTATACCTATGTCCTCCTCTAAAGTATGAACTCTTTGAAAGCAGAGAAAGCATCTTATTTCTTTGTAGATTTAGCACCCAGCATAACATCTTGAACTTTGTAGTTCTCAATAAATTTTGAATTGAGCAGTGGTAGCTCTGTCTCACCTAATGTTTCTGCTGGCTTAGTAAGACCTGTCAATATTTAGGAGGGGGATATAACTCATGGAGAAGATTAAAAATTGATAACACAAGAAGACAACATAGGGGGATTTGGAGAAAAAAAGTATCTAAGATTAAAATTACGAAAGAGGAAGGTGTGAGAAGAAGATTTTCAGTGTGAAAGAAAGAATTGAAAGAAAAGTGAGAATTGGCTGAGGGAAGCTGCTTTGAGAAGTAAATAAGGGAAGGCATATGCCAGAGTTCGGTGTTTGAGGATGAACCAGTCTGTATTCAGAGCTGTTGGGCACTATTAAAAGACAAAATTGTTCATGTGGATTTCTAGTGTGATCCAATGAAGTGGGAAGCTAGTGAACAGGATGCTTGAGTTCTAGTTTCACCTCTTCCTCCTACTTAGCTTCAGCAAGTCAGATTCTCTATGTTGGTTTCTTCATCTGTCAGCTAGAGATTATTTATCTGATAGGGGATAATCTGTCTAGCTCACAGGTATATCCAGAAGATGAAATAACACAGTATATATCCACTAGTAGATGTGGAACTAAAAATGAAAATGGTAGAAGGCTTTACCATTGTAAGTCGTTGCTCTTTTTAATCCTAATCTATTAGTATCATTCGTTGCTCTTTCCAATTCTTCTTACTAACAGCCTAGACAAATTGTCTTCTACAAATATATTTTTAAATGGTTATATCTTTTAGTAATAAAAATAGTAAAAGGATTTAATTTCTAATTTCTTATTAAGTTCTTCTTTCAGTTATTTTAAACTCAAAAGAAATGAGATTGGGTCCCCCACCCCAAAATGGCAGACTAGAGGTGCTCAACATGCAAGAAATGAGATTGGCTTTTGGATTTGTTTTAGCATACCTTGTTTATTTTAATTATGCTAAAAATCCATAATATTGGAAAAAGTTTTATTCATTTTTATTTTCAGTAATCATAGACTTTAAAAGAAAGATTATATCATTAAAACTCAACTTATATTTTTTTTTCAAAAATTTTGCTAGAGGAAAAATATAACACGAGTTTTGTTGGTCATGTGTATACTGGCAAGTCTGGTTAAGATTTTAGCATAAGAAATTATTACAGTGTTACATCCTTGTAAAACAGGGAACTCCTTTAAATTAATTTGTTCCCAAATCCTATTAGTAACTTTATTTTGCAAATAATCCATTAAGATGAGGTAGGATTGAGTAAGAAATGCTTGAGATTCATAGTTATTAATTAGTATAGTAAAATCTCAACTCAAATGAAATGTTTGAATTATATTTTACAGAGTAAAATTCCATATGTGATTAGAACATTATTTTCAGTTTTCTACATCATACTCCCCTGTGTATTTTTTTGGTTCTTTTCTTTCAACAGCCAGAAATCACTGTGGAAAATCTTCCCACTTATTTAAGACTTCAGAAGCCATTACTTATTTTGTTTAGTGATGGCGGCATAAATCCTCAGTATGAAAAAGCAATATTGACACTGGTAAAGCAGAAGCACTTGGATTCACTTACTCCTTGCTGGTTAAATCTGTACGTATATTTTTATTTTTTTAATATGTAAGAGGCAAAGGAAGTATGATTATTACATTTTCATTGGGAAATTAAACTCTCCAACTTTACCTTTGGAGTTAATATTATAAGACCCAATATGTCATCATGATATTTTAGTAACTAAATTCCCTCAGACAGGGTCCAAGATCATCTTCTTTTAGACTGAATTTTATTCTATAATAAATTTTTTAAAGTAATATTTTTTCTGAAAATATTATTTTTAGAGAAAATTTGGCAAATACATAAAAGTGAATTTTGCCTTTTCCTTCAGTTCCTTTTTCTGTACTTCCATATTTTTGAAGTTCAGCCTATAATGTCACAGAAAGGTTTCAGTGTACTCATTAGCAATATTTGCTGGTGTGTTTTCTAGATGTAAGGCTTGAGTTACATTTAATGTCTGTGAATACAGTTTGCATATACACACACTATCCCTTGTTCAGATTCATCAGATGAAAAGCATATTTTTTTTTTAACTCAGTCGAAAAATTACAAAAATGGGGCAGTGTACATTTGTGCTGTGAAGAGTTGCATTAACAGTACTTCCTTCTGCTTGAGGTAAAATTTTTCCAGGTAATTATCATTGTAGGTATTTAAGAGTAAAATAGTATTTTACATAATATAGAATGTGCTGTGTTAAGAAAGCTAGGTATCTTTAACTTATGGTCTTCTTGTATAAATATAATTATTTTTCATCTCTTTACTTTGAAAATAGTCCCTTCTTTTTCCTGAGGAAAGACACAATTGCATTTGGAAAAGATTTATAAAAATAACTACCTTATTTTCTTATAGTTACATAACCATTTCATTTTTGAGCTGATGTGTAATCAGATAATTGATTAAACCAACAGGAAAGAACCTGTTGATTGTGTGAAACCTAAATTGACAAGCCTTTGAGCTATGCCTGATTTTCATTAAAACTGTCATTAGCTGTCTTTTTTTTCTCTTAAGACAGTGCCTATGTTAAAAGGCAACTTTTTTAGTGAGAAATTGGTAAAGGACCACAAAGAATGATTACCTTGTGTAATGCTAATTATCCTGATTTGAGCATCACATATTGCACACAGATACTGATATTCAACACTGTACCACATAGATATGCACAATTATGTTTTAATAAATTTTTTAAAAAGTAACTTTTTAAGAATCCAATTAGTAATAACATAGTCATAGACCTTTTAGTTTTTAGCACATCCTTTCGCAAAATAAAATTATTGGCATGATACTATTTAAAGTTTAATGTTCTACAAACTATTGTTTTCACTATTTTATTATAGAGAGAAATATTAATTAACGTGTTCAATTATTCCCTTTTGTAGAAAGAACACTCCTGTGGGGAGAGGAATCTTGCAGGCATATTTTGACCCCCTGCCTCCCCTTCCTCTTCTTGTTTTGGTGAATGTGCATTCAGGTGGTCAAGTATATGCGTTTCCTTCAGACCAGGCTGTGACTGAGCAGAACCTTGTATTGTGGCTTAAGAAATTAGAAGCAGGATTAGAAAATCACATCAGTAAGTTTTCTGTTTTGTTTAATACACACAGTTCTGCATTTTGTTCCATAAATTTTAAACTTTAAATATAGCTCATGAATGATAGAATGAGTTGCATTGTAGTGTTTATAAGTGTCCTACATATCAATATGCTGATAATATTGTCCACGGGACAGTTTCCAGTCGTGAGGCCAGTGGTGCAAGGCCTCAGTTGGAGACAGTCGGCTCACCTATGGAGGCTGCCTTCTTCTCTTGAATTTTAATTCATTGAGTCCACATCGCTTGTATAGATCATCAGTGTCTTCAAACATATGATATTTGTAATTTATCCTGTTTTAAAAATTTGTTGCACTGTGAGCATTGGCTTACTGAAACATAAGTCCTTCATACTATTTTTATAAAACTTAAAATTGTAGATTTCACAAGACAGCTTTTTTTTTTTTTTTTTTTTTTTCCTTTTTGTGACTGGTAAGGGGATTGCAACCCTTGGCTTGATGTCACCCACACCGCGCTCAGCCATCCCTATATAGGATCCGAACCCGCGGTGGGAGCGCTGCTGCACTCCCAGTGCCGCACTCTCCCGAGTGCGCCACGCGGCTAGCCCCACAAGACAGTTTTTACATGGCTTTTTCATATGCATGTTTCTTTCTGTAAGTATAAGCAAATATGTAGTTTTATGGAAAGTGAGAACATTTTACAAATGCTACATTATTATTATATAAAACTGGTTCTAAGTATTCTAAAAATGTATATCTCAAACTGAAACTATTTCTTGGTTTCTCCTTCAACATTTACTATTACTGCTTTTGTTGATCTACCCTTAAGGTTATGATATATTTGGCTTTTACATTTTAGGCCAGTTACTTAAAGGAAGTTACTGTTGGAATAAAAATAATAGCCAATATTTATTGAGAATGTGCTCTTTTCCAGGTAAGGTGCTAATTATATTTTAGGGATTATCTGATTTATTCTCACAACAGCATCAGAATTCTGGGTGTTGTTATTATAATCTTTTTCCAGATAGTAAAACTGAGACACAGGAAGGTTAAGTAACTTGCCAAAGGTTATTCAGCTAATAAATACCAGAGCAGGGATTCAAACCAAACAGTCTAACTGTAGAACCCCTACCCTTAATCGAATTTCCTAAAGTATCTAATGTTATCATTTTGCTTGTTTTATTGAATCTGCAAGTGACCATGTAATTGAAATAGTCTGTGTAGTCACCAAGATTGTCAGGTGATAATTGATTTTGCATGGATTTTATCTAAACTCTATAACTATTCAGTCTAATCTATATATATAAATACTTGTGGGAAGAATTTCTGCTTAATGAAATAGCATTCTAATAAGTATCACTGGTTTATATTAAATTTGAATAACAATAATAGCTAGCAAAAAGTGCATTTCATGAATTATTTCATCTAGTCCTCTTGAGAAGCATATATGGTAGGTATTATTACCCACAGAAAATAAGTACCATTGTATTACATTTTATTAAATTTAACAATAATAATAGCTAACATTTATTGAATGCTTTCTAGATGTCTAGCACAATGCTAAGTGATTTACATGCATTATCTCATTTAACTCTTACATGTTTAGTAATATGAAGTACTTAGTAACTCTTAGAAGAGTTAAATAACTAGTTCAAAATCATAATTAGCCAGTAAATGAAGAAGCTTAGATTCCGACCTAGATCTCTTTTACTTAAGAGCCAGAATTTTTAACTAACAAATGAAAAATTGTATATATTTATGGTGTAAAGTGTGATGTTTTGATATATGTATACATTGTGGAATGACTAAGTCAAGCTGTTAAATACACCCATCACCTCACCTACTTATTCTTTGTGGTGAGAACATTTAAAATCTACTCTCATAGCAATTTTCAAGTATATAATGCATTATTATTTACTATAGTCACCATGCTATAAAATAGATCTCTTGAACTTACTTCTCTTGTCTAACACACTTCATACTCTTTGACCAACATCTCTTCATTCTCTGCTCCCCCTGGTAACCACCATTCTATTCTCTGCTTCTGTAATTTTGATTACTTCAGGTTCCACTTGAAAATGAAATTAAGCCATACTTGTCTTTTTGTACCTGGTTTAGTTCACTTAACATAACATCCTCCAGGTTCATCCATGTTGTTACAAATGACAAGGTTTCATTCTTTTTAAAGGATTAATAGAATTCCATTGTGTGTATATGCCACAATTTCCTTATTCACTCATCCGTTGATGAACACTGATGTTGATTCCTTATCTTGGATATTGTGACTAGTGCTACAGTGAACAGGCGAGTGCAGGTATCTTTTTGATATACTGATTTCATTACCTTTGGATACATACCCAGAAGTGGAATTGCTGGACTTTATAGGAATTCTATTTTTTTTTTTTTTGTCTTTTTCCATGTCCGGCAATGGATTGCAACCCTCAGTGTTGCCCCCGTACCAGACCGGGGACCGGCAACGGGATCGCAACCCTCGGTGTTGCTCCCGTGCCTCGCTCAGCCAGTGAGCGGGAACCGGTCTGTATGTGGGATCCGAACCCTTGGGCGGGAGCGCCACCGCGCTTCCCAAGCGGCGCACTATCCAGTGCGCCACCGGGCCGGCCCCAGGAGTTCTATTTTTAATTTTTTTGAGGAAGTCCCATATTCTTTTCCATAACGGCTGTACTAATGTACTTTCCCACCAACAGTATACACGGGTTACTTTTTTTCCATATCCTCACCAACACTTATCTTTTGTCTTTTTGATAATAGCCATTCTAACAGGTGTGAGGTGATCTCTCATTGTGGTTTTAATTTGCACTTCCCTGATGATTGATGATGTTAAGCACCTTTTCATATACCTGTTGGACTTTTGTATGTCATCTTTGTGAAAATGTCTTTTTAAGTCCTTTGGCCAATTTTTAATTGGGTTATTTGTTTTTGTGCTATTAAGGTGTTTGAGTTCCCTATATATTTTGGATATTAAACCCTTATCAGATGTATGTCTTGCAAATATTTCCTTCCATTCTGTGGGTTGTCTCTTCACTTCATTGATTGTTTCCTTTGCTGTATAGAAGCTCCTTAGTTTGATGTCCAACTTATTTGTTTTTGGTTTTGTTGTCTGGGCTTTAGGTGTGATATCCAGAAAAAAAAAAATTATTACCTAGGCTGATCTCAAGGAACTTTTCCCATATTTTTAATTCTAGTCATTTATTTTAGTAATTTCAGGTCTTATGTTTAAGTCTTTAATCCATTTCGAGTTGATTTTTTTGTTGTTGTTGTTCCTTTTTGTCTTTTTTCGTGACCGGCAACAGATCGCAACCCTCAGTGTCGCGCTCGTACTGGACCGGGACCAGCAACGGGGTCGCAACCCTCGGTGTTGTTCCCGCACCTCGCTCAGCCGGTGAGCGGCCGGTCTGTATGTGGGATCCGAACCCTCGGCGGGAGCGCTGCCGCGCTTCCCAAGCGGCGCACTGTAGCAGTGCGCCACCGGGCCGGCCCCTCGAGTTGATTTTTATATATGGAATGAGATTAGGGTCCAATTCCATTCTTCTGCATGTGGATATCTGGTTTTCCCAACACCATTTATTGAAGAGACTATCTTTTCCCCATGTGTGTTCTTGGCACCTTTGTGGAAGGTGAATTGACCATAAACGTGTGGGTTTATTTCTGGGCTCTCTATTCTATTCCATTGGTCTGTGTGTCTGTCTTTATGTCAGTACCATGCTGTTTGATTACTATAACTTTGTAGCATGTTTTGAAGTCAGGTAGCATTATGCCTTCAGCTTTGTTCTTTTTGCTGAAGATTGCTTTGGCTATTTGGGGTCTCTTGTGGTTCTACACAAATTTTAGGATTGTTTTTTGTATTTCTGCGGAAAATGTTATTGGAATTTTGACAGGACTTGCATTGAATCTGTAGATTGCTTTGGGTAGTATAGATATTTTAACAGTCTTAACTTGTCCAATCTATGAACATGGGCTATCTGTCTTATAATAATATTTTGGTATTGTTTCATGACAGAGTCTTGAAATTGTGTATGTGTGTGCATATGTAAATATATATGTATGTGTATGTATATGTCTTACTATTTTCAGTGTACTAATCTTTCACCTCCTTGGTTTAATTTATTTTTTGATGCTATTGTTAATGGGATTGTTTTCTCGATTTGTTTTCTAAATAGTCTGTTGTTAGTGCATAAAAATGCTGCTGGTATTTGTATGTTGATTTCGTATCCTTCAACTTTACTAAATTCATTTAGTAGTTCTAACAGATTTTTGGTGGAGTCTTCAGGGTTCTTTTCTTTATATAAGATCATGCTGTCTGCAAACAGAAACAATTTACCTTCTTCCTTTCTGATATGGACAGATCCAGAATTTTGAACTACAAAAGAATAGATCTTGGCCCAGAATTTATGATCCTGGCTTACAACATACAATTTCTACTTTTCTGAAAACATAAGAATTTATATTGTGGTATGGATGTATATAATTTAAATAAGCAAACATGTAGTAACCTAGATCATTAGTATATTGAGCAGAGTGTGAAATTTGATGTAACAAAAAGTAAGATAATATCCATAGATTTTATTAGATACCAGATGATTTGTATTATAATAATATTTTGATATCGTTCCACGACAGAGTACTGAAATAAAGAGGTGTGTGTGTGTGTGTGTGTGTGTGTGTATCTGTCTGTAAATCTATATGTATATCTTCCATTGCAATTTTGTTAGTGTCTTTGCCAGCACACCCTTTGGGGGGCTTTCATCATTTCTGTGTATCACTGCTGCTATTCTTAAATTATTGCTGTAGCCTCTGTAGCAGGGAAGAAGACTGAACAGTACTTCTCTGTGTATTGGGTCCTGCCCTCTGTGATAGCACGACCTACTCTCACCACTCTTTGGTAGAGGAATCTTTGCCAGCCATGATGCTCTGAGTCGGGGGTGAGGTAGGATGGGTTGCAGGGACCTTCTGGGCATAGCCTAAATCTGTAACATGGTGCCACAGGTGTCTGCCTCACCTTGCTTGTTGCACATCTTAATTTCTGTGAAATTGTGGCCACTGGATATTCTTATTTGAGATTTACACTTAACTTTTTGGTAGTGTGAATAAAATGGGGG